TTAGCTTTGAAGAGAGTTGAATATCTCACTAGTTCTAACTAAACTGAATTGAAAATATTCTGAAAATAACTGCTTCATAAAAACCATTCATATTGAACCCGAGGTTACCTCGCTAGCACCCCACATCTTGCTTCTAATTTCAGAAATGTTTCCAAAAACACATCCTATAAAATGTTTTTCACTTGATTTGTAAGTCTGGCAAAAGTGGAAATATCTAGTGTATCTAGTATAGTGTCAATTCCATTGCATCCCCCCCATATAACACTGCTTTTACATTCAGGTATTTAGCTTGCTAAGCAGATGGTTCCTTATTTTGTCTGTTGTTTGATGCAGCTAGTGAGAGCCACGAGACTCAACCATATGATAAATGTGTTTTGAAAAGCATCTACAAGCATCATGGCGGTTCAGAGTTAGGAGATCATTCTCAGTCTGTTTTGAATCATTTCACATCATATTTGTATCTGATTCCATTTAATACTGATATTACGTAACAATCCTAACCCTGGATCCAGGCCGATCTGAGGACTCGTGTTTCTGTTTTCCCTTCTATGCAAAGAGATTTTCATTGATATGCTACTGAGTCATATCTGCATGTTATGATCTGTTTAGAAATGCTGACTCATTGCTATAGTTGTTTGTACACTGAAAAAAAATATTTATGCCCCAAATACTGACTTTAAATAATCTGATTACATTTCAGTTTTCCATGTTACATTAGTACAGTGTAAAATGTTAAATTTGATCAAATTTGGTCAAATGAAATTGACTTGATTGGTATTCAGTTTATACCAAGCATATTTTCCTTAATGATTAGTTATTTGAATAAATGAACCTATAATTTTATATAATTAGTGCTTTACAGATTTTTGTGAGTGTATCTCTGTCCAGCTGCATCCAGAGGCATTTTGGTGCGCGCTGGCTGATAACTCCCTTCAGAAATCAAAAGTGAACTGAAAAATTTCAGAGGTCTTTGCATTTCTGCATTTGTCTGGTGTAATTTAAAAAAAAAAAAAAAACAAGTTGAAAATGTGGAGCTACAAGGAAGACCCCTTGTGAATGCAGGAACAAAGTGAAGGTAGCTTCTTTCTTCTTTTGTCTGGCAATATCTATACTCACACATCTTATAAGCAGGTGTTTGGAAATAGAAGACATATTTCCAATAGTAAACAAGTGAGAGTCACTTATAAAACCTGCCCACTAACCTGTTGCAGAACAACAAGAGCCAGCAACTAGTCAACACACAAGAGCCTGTTATGCAATAACCACAAGGAGCTTTAATTACAGGTCAAACAGGGTACTTGAACCTACCGGCAAGGGGGTGATGGAAAGGATGCACAGCGCTTTCATAAAACAAATGCTTTCTACTTAGAGTGACCTCAAAGAAATATGATCTCCACATTGTAAAGTGATCCAGACAAAACGCATTGTTTGATTTAATACACTTTACAGTTGAGGCTCTGTGTTTGTTTGATGCTATGAACAACGGCAAGGTGTGCAGAAAGTGGTCTCTTAACATTATCTGATTCTGTAAATCACTTATGAGAGTCAGCCCACCAATAGCACTAGGATTTACAGCCACCATGTTGTCCATGTATGACTTATTGGGAGCTTGGTTATGTTCCCATAGCTGGACCCAAAAATAGCTCCTGCAGCTTGGAGCTATGCCATGCGGTTCCTTTTTTGTTTCTTATTTATACTTTTTTGTCCCTGGGACCATAAAAGAAGCACAAGCAGCATGGACCAGTGAATAGAGGAAGTCTGACATCTTCTTAACTGCTCTATCCAACCAAACACAAGCGCTCCCACCTAACAGATTACTGCCAACACCGGTGGCTAATGATGACACAGAGGGAAGTTAAAACTAATAAAATGGTAAATATGCCAGGTTTAGCCATCCTTCCCATCTATCAGCCAGCGTGGGAGCAAGCACACCCTGACACAGTTCCCAGATATGGTCAGCCTGACACCATGTTCACCACCAAAGCATCTACTATGATTCTTCCCCCCCCCCCCCCCCATTTCCCATATATCACACTAAAGTTCTTCTTTAGTTTCCCCTTGAGAATAAACAGACTCAGTCTTGTTCTTTCTTTCCTCCACTTATTCAACTTCCTAGGAAAAAGAAAATCTAATATAGCCATGTAAAAAATGGAATAATTCAAATGTGACATCAACAAGGTGGTTACTGTGGTAGAAATAACCTTTAAAATGACCTTTATCTCTAAAGTTTTATAGATAACACAATCTAAAAAAAAAAAAAAAAATCCTATCTATGACTGAATGACAGGTCATCTTAGGCTACCTAACAACAAACCCTGCAACTCACCACCTATTATTAACATACAGCATG